TTTTTTCCGTTGACTTTCGTTAACTCCCACATTCTGTTAGTTTCTATCTTCACCAGATCCATCTTTCTCCTCACCTCCATTCTCATCCTCATCCTAATCATCTGTAGAACAATTGCCAACCATCCCAAACTAAACACCCATTCGATGGGAGGGATCCCACCCACAAGATTAGCTTTGATCATCTCCCTCGCAACCTCTCCAAAAACCCCTCTGTTCAGAAGGTTACCTAAGTCAAAAATCAATTCCCAGTTCCAGCACCAGACCCCTTGTCTGAGCCGCACTCCTTCGCTGAGTAAAAACTCCAACAAGAATCAGAAGTCAATCTGGGTTCTTGCATAACCCAGATGCAGATGCAGAACCCAGATCGGAGCGAGGAAGAAAAGGGAGAAGAGGGGGAGGAGAGGGAAAGAAAATCAAAGAACCAGGGCTGGGTGAAAAGGAGTAACGAGAGAAACGGAGAGAAACAGAGATAAACGGAGACGGAAGAGTGTGTGACGGAGGTGTGATGACCGAGTGTGCATATATCATTTTCCTTTTTGAAAGCATTGGGGCAAGCATTGTGTACTATTGAAGATGACTGATAAACTTGAAGATCCAGTTTCTCTAGATGAGGAAATTAGCTTGGAAGCTGAGGAAACAGTAGGTGAATTTGAATTTGTGATTTTTCTACATGAGGAAATTAGCTTGGAAGCTGGGGAGTCAGTAGGTGAAACTGAATTTGTGGGGGGGTAAAAGGCTTTGTTCTTGTTCAACTACATCTGGAAGCCGTTCTAACAAGGTTTACAAGGTTTCCAAGGAAGATATGATGGACAAGTTCAAGGAATGCATGATCTATACCTTAGCTGCAAAGGAAAGGTTTTATAAAGCCATAGCTGATAGATATAGGACTGCTGGTACTGCTATTTCATCTGATGATCGCTTTTCTATTCTGGAGTGCATATGTATTTTACAAATCATGAAAGGTATTTCTTATTCTACAGCAAGAGAAGCCATTAATGCATTCAAGAATTCTCTATAGGATAGGCGGATTTTTGTCTCATGAAGCCCGAATGGAGATAGAATTGGGTGGAAGACCTTGATCAATGAAGCGCATTCAATGTTGTGTTTGTTTAGTTTGCATTCAATGATCATCTAACTTTCATGGACATTAGAATTGCTTAGCTTGCTTTTGATCTTGAGTTGAATAGTTTGAACCTTGTGGTGCTATGTGTTTTTGTATAGTTTGCATGCAATGATCTATGAACACTGAATTTATGAACTCTTTAGTTTGTTTTTGATCTATTAGTTGTTTAGTTTTTTTAATAAGAGCTATTTCCAATGGTCTTATATTTGTATTTGTTTTTCCATTTTAATTTTTAAATTTGTTTGTTTGTTGGTTTATTTATTTATTATTATTATTTTTTTGATAATTATAATGAAGATGTTTTGAGTGAGGAAAATATATAACTAAAAGCTTAGAAGTTGAGTCCAAAAATGAGGAAGAAATGTGATGAGGGAATTAATGATTTGAATGAGGAAAATAATGCAAGGTATTAACTTAAACATCCATCTATGCCAATTCACAAGATACCATACCACATTCTCTCTTTTGTATGATTGCACAAATCTAAACTTCAAAAACCAAACATAGTTTTTCTTTTTTTTCTTTTCTTTTCTTTTTTAATTAGAAATGGGCGTCACTCAATTTAACACAAACAAATCAAAATGAATTTCCTCTTTAAAATTCATTCTTTGTTTACATTAGCTCCACCGACCTCTTGGTTTCATCTGTATTGACATCATAGCATTCTAAGCTCATCAAATCAAACATTCAACAACTATCACCCAACATTCTTGCGCCGATGGCATCATTATCCAATCAAACCTGCATAAAACGACGCCTAAATCATATTTAGTATGACAATGATTTGCTGACATTGTTTATTGACAACAAGAAGAGTGCTAAGGATACTCTTTCTAACCTTTTCTTTTGAACACTTTCCATGTAATCGAGTTACATAGAACATAAATTTAATATGATTGGTGATTAATTATTAAAATTAAAGTTTAATATTTTTAAAATTTAAAATTATAACCATTTAGATTAAATTTAGATTACATGTGTTTCAATCACATAAAAAGTATTCAAAAAAGAGTGTCATAGAGAGTGCCTTTAGCATTCCCCTTGATGACAAATGCTTACGTCTAAAAATACTAACAATTACATGCTTATATACATAATGATAATAAACCGAAGGAAGTAGGGGGTTTACCTTAATTTTTTATCAGCAATGTAGTCCATTTGGGACCTATCATTCAGTAGTAGAGAATCTTTGTCAATTTTGGGGTTCCTGATTAGTAGCATGGAAGAATGGATCATAACCATCACCCTTCTTCAGACCATCATCAGCATCACAGTAATCCATAATCTGTAAAATACGTGCAGGGACTAAGCCATCCTTGTCATGCTTGCCACCCATTTCTTTGTCAAATTTCTCTTTGGAACTAATGAAACCTCCAGCATAATCTCGAAAACTGGAAATTACTGACTGATCATCGTATTCTGTAGTCCATGCTCGAAATTTGATCATTGCTGGAGGCAATTTGGAGAAGAACAGCTCCCTGAAGTTCCCTGATATGCCTTTATTAAAGGGATTTTCCATCTTATCATACCGGTATCTGAAATTCTCATAAGTTGTCTGAAAGTACAAAGACAAGAATGGAGGTTCAGTGGAACAGAAGTTGTTCTGGTGCTAACAAACACATAACAATGAAAACTTTTAAGTTCAGTAAGAAGAATACCTGGTTGGTGCAAATTAGGTACATATGGAAAACTGTAAGCCCACCAACAAACCAGATGGCAATGAAGCAATATATTACTAGTATAACTGATAGTATATCGCGTCGCATAACACCCCACAAACTGCCTGGTCGACGAAGGTTTAACCAAGAGCACGCAAAGAAATATGTGCACAACAAAGATGATATTGATATAAAATCTATGAAGGATGCATAGTTGCGCTGCAAACGAGTGAAAGATGTAAAGGATATTGGAAGAATTGTTATCAACAGTAGGTTAATGTTAACAAAGCTTGACAGTAGGTCTAGATAACTTACTTGTCCAATACACTGGCCCACCCATGGACAGTGATGGTCAAATCTCTGCACACAGTTGTTGCAGATTGAGCAATGTGAAGCTCGTGGAGGACGATACAGCAAGCAAGTTTCACAAAACTTAACTTTAATTGTGTGCCCATTGACAATTACATCCTTCATCCGTGGTGTTTTCAAATAAGGAGTTCTATTATTGGATCAATCCATTGATGGGATACTGGAAAGTGCTTCCTCTTTAGGGAACTGTGAATTCCTAGGAATTATTCCTGGATCTCTGGTAGATGTCATAAACAGAGATGTAAAATCTTGCAAACAGCATCAAGAAGAAGTGAGGTATAAAATCGATTACTAAAACAAGCTCAAATTATACGAGGAAATTTAGCTATGTTTTACCAACCAAGATAGTAACAATCCCCCAAACAAAACTCGATAATCAAAAAGTGGATTCTCTTCTTTAAAAATCACGAGCATCTTTATGCGGAATGCTATTGCAGGACATCCAATTAGAAACACAGTTAAATAAAGCAAACCTGCATCGGGGCCACAGACCATTCTCCCACCACAACCAAATTTCTATAATGGAAGCAAGAGAACAGTTATAAATAGTCCATAGCTGATAACAAATGCACCTCTCACAGGTTGGGAATTTCATATCAGCGACAAGTTCCATACATGTCTAGAATCCATAACTGTTAGCAGAAAGCAAAGGATCAAAAACCCCTGAAATTAGTTTAAATTGGATTTTACATATTTACCAATTAACTATGTGCCACTAAGAAGAAAAATGCGCTCATTATGTTATATTTATCATTCTCAGAATACGAAAGTTTGTTGTTTTTGTTTCTTACCGCATGAATTTCCTCTTTCAGATACCTCCCTAGCAGCTTCAAAATGCACGGAGGATGGAACTCCAGGCA